AAAAGGCTAAAGCCCAACATCCACTAGGCAACTTTAAGGCCTTTTCACACTGGCACAAGTAATGTGCATTGATGCGCATTAATCATGTTCACACTAGAGTGGTTTTCAATTAATGCGCATCACTCTCACTTCACCTTCAGAGGTGGATTGACGTGAAGTGATGCGCTTCGATCAATGTAAACCAATGGCAACAAGAACACAAAATGATACATGATTCAGCTGCTAGTGTGAACACGATCAATGTGCATTAATCTTGTAATTTTCATAGGAGAAAAATTTCAGACAGAAAAAATTCATGTATTTTTATTTTCGCACAGTGGTTCCTGTCCGAAAATTAACAACATACGAAATTTTAAAGATCTTATAAAGGATCCCACAGAGCATCTCTGCTTGAGAAGCTACCATGCTTATTAGAGTGTCTGCCAACTGCAGTAGGAGACTAGGAGAGATACTTTAATTGGAAGAAACAAAGCAGCGCCATTTTGTGATGATAGTGCTACGTGTCTTGACAATGCACGTGGTATCTGCATGCAAAACTTACGCATGAATAAATTAATTTTCATGAATTTTAATTTCGCACAAAGCCATGCATCCGAAAATTAAATACAGGCGAAAATTTCCAGGTATACGGTATTTCAGCTGATAATGCTGAACCAACAAAGCGCATCAAAGTGCCTTGAAAACTGTGCCAGTGTGAAAAGGCCTTAAAACTCAATGACATATTGTATTTCCTTTAATAAAAGCCCAGGCGTCTATTCCCTAAAAATTGTATTTGGACCTCGAAAAAAGTTTTTAAAACTTTGGCCCAGAGTGGGATTCGAACCTATGACTTATGCACATAGATATACTACCTGTAAATGGGATTGGAAACTTCAATGATAATAAGTGCAAGGTGTGTTGGGGCGTATCCCACCAAATCTGATAAAATCTTAGCAAATGCATTGGCTCTATGGCGAAACTTTGTGGGACTCTAGCAGCTGTATTTCAGAATGAAACAAGCAAGTTTTTGCTTATATAAATACTTCTTAAGAGCCTTCAGTGCAACATAACATTTATTTAACGTAATACTCACTAGTAAGAGCTTTTTAGGCTATTTGAATTTTTGCCAGATCGCTCGGGATTCCATTACTCACAAAATACGCAACACAGACTAAAATGAACATCACGGTGCACTCAAGGCTCTTAAGAAGAGTCTATAGAAGTGAAACTGGGCTGTTTCATTCTAAAATGCAATAGCTAGAGTCCCACAAACCTTCGCCATTGGTCTACTAAGAATTGAACAACGTGATCCCAACCAGCCTGGTACCCATGGGTAGTAATGGAAGTTTCCAATCCCATTTACGGGTAGTTATCTATGACTTCAGGAACTTTAGGCAGTATCCACAAGACTACTGAGTCACTTCAAAACTTAATTTGCATATTTATATTTAAATTGTATTGCTACCCCAGTGTTTATTCACATGCAGCTTCTATTTAAGGATTTATAGTGCCAGTACCTTTGATGTGGTTGTGTAACATTATGCATGAAGTTGAGAGTCTCTCTACTTCATGCAACATGTTGCCCAACCACATCAAAGGTTTGACCACAAGTTGCAAGCAACAATGCTCCATAGTGGATGCCCACCTTTAGACAGTACATTTAATGAAAATCCAGCAGCTTCTGTAGTAAACTCTCGCTCTTTATGGGTGACAGAAATGGGTTTTCTTGCTTTGCTTTCTTGCTGTCCCTTAACTGCTCACTAGGAATGGAAGCACATTGTCATGTGGTTTAGGGTGGTACCTTTGGTACGCCCCCTAGTAACCATAAATCATTTAAAGCATAGGAAGCAGTGCTTTAAGTAATGCATACAGTACCTGCTACTTATCTGCATGGCTTCCGTGCAACAAAAACAATTTCAAAACCACAAATACGTAAAGAATGCGGATGTGACGTAGTTATTTATTAATTGAAAAAAAGGCAGGGGTCAGGTGAAAGTAAACAGACTTTAATAGTAGTGCACCTTGTCTGTTTGTGGTCAGGCATAACGTTGTCTATACTTCACTTCTGCATGCATGCAACTATAGAATCTACATGTTGCCCGACTGCATCAAAGTCCTGAAAAAATTACCTAGTGTATGGTGGGTGGGGTAAAAGACAATAGCTGAGACATTGACTAGCTCACTGTGGGTAATGCCAAAATAATATTTATGTGTAGCAAATGAAAATTTAGCCTGTGATTGGCCACATATAGTTTCCCATTTCTTGCCCAAATAAGGTGGTGTCACATTTGTTACTGGTGAGGTATACAATCATATGAATTATCAAGCCTATACACCATCTGCCCACCTGCTTATGAAATGAGAAAGTATTTCATCAGTTGCATTTGCCTTATATTATTTAATTTTTTTTCAAATGTAGGGACATTGTAGTCCCGCCGCTCAGCCCCTTTGCGGGGCATGAGACTAGGGGCATCATCTCATCAGCAGAGTATGCAGATGTAAGTTAATTAAATTATTTTATATAGGAATTGTTTTCTGGTACACCACTCGAGAGCCTAAGTTAAAATTTACACTATTGTACTCTTTTGAAAAATGCTATTGCATGATTTGCATCATTAGGGCACTTCAAGTACATTCATAGTTTCTCCTTTAATGGAAATGGACAGGGCTGATGTATGGTGGGATGGGAAAAATATTTAGGAGAAACAATGAATTTGATTAAAGTGACTAACTGACTAACTTAATATGAAAATAAAAAATAATCAGTTTTGTATATTTTTCAAGGCAAAATCCACAATGCTACTAAAATTAAGTTCAATTGTAATAGTGTTTTGCTGTTTACAGAATATCTGGTGCCTTCTCTGCATAACAACTAAATAGTTATTCCTTGTATCTATTAGGATGCTCCATTATCTGATTCTGATAATAAAATAAAAGTGTCTGAAGTTTTTGAACATCATCCGGAGGATAATAATGCATCAAATGATAATCCTGGATATTTTACAAGAGTCTCAACTGGCAATGTCAATATGGCTTCTTCTGGATATTCCATTATTAAATCAATTACAGAAGGAGCACAACACATTGGACATAAACTCATTCAAGGTAGAAATATAAGTGATGAGAAATACTGTATACCGTATAGCAAAATTTTTTGTGGCCCAAAATTTTTGTGGATTTCGCCTTTTTTTTTTAATCCATGAAAATTGATTTAATACGGTTCAAGATGGCCAAAAAGTAAAAAAACCACGAAAATTAAAGCCACGAAATTGATTTTTGAACGGATCCGTGAAAATTTTGGGCCACGAAAATTTTCCATTATACGGTAGCTTCAAATATTTGGTCAAAAATTTCCGATAAAGCCTTAATTTTTTAATTAAAATTAACATGGAGCAAGAATTTTGTAAATTAAAATTCTCTTCAAATAATGTGCTCAGGCAAATTTGATGAAATTTTTGATTAACAAGATTTTGGAGCTATATATTATGCTACATTTTCATAGCTTATTATCAAGATGATACTGCCATTTTACATCGATCCATCACTAAAACTTGCCAAGTACAGTTACGTATACTACCACATTAAAATGATTATTTTATCATAATTTAGCTTATTTTGAATATTGTTAGAAAATATAATGGTCAAAATAACATTCTTGTTCAAAAAGAATGGTTAAATGAAACAGAGTATCTTTTACAAAATAAGGTCCTCACTGTTGGTGTGTTTGGACGTCACAATGCTGGAAAGAGCACATTATTGAATGCACTCCTTTATCATGAGTGAGAAATAATTATTATGTATGCATAATATTCACTTGATTGATTTTATTTTCTATAAAGAGTTTTGTCAGTAGCTGATACAAATGAAACAGCTTTTGTTTTAAGAATTTATCATAAGCCTAGAAACCATCATGGAAGCAGCTGTTTTGAAAATACTGAAGTAAATCATTTTTTGTAATTTATGTTGTCATTTTATAATAATAATAGCAATCTTTATCAATGAAGGATCAAGAAACTGAGGGTCATCGAAGCATTCGAAAAACAATTAAAAGAAAGAACTCTGGTATCAGAGAAAAGGGTGCAGTGAGTATTAGTATGAGCATATGATTCCTAAAATGAATTTTACTTAATTTTTTTAGACAATTGATGTTGATGAATTAGAAGCACATGTCCCCTTCCTATGTCGTTGTTCCACTGGTGATATCAACATTGTGCTGTTAGATACACCTGGTTTATCTGAATCTAATGAGTTAGGAATATCTGAAGTATCAGAGCATCAACTGATGACCTGTGCTGTATATGTTTATGTAATATCATCTCAACAATTGGAGGATTCTATTGATACTGACTCACTGAGAGCTATAGTCAAGAGGGACCCAAGTAAGTGACTGTGTCTCATAAAATACTGTATAAGTGGTTTTTTCGTGGGTTAAAAATTTCATGAATTTTGCAGATTCCCTCCTAATTTGCAAAAATAAAATCCACAAAAATCAATTTAATACGGTACCCGCATGGCACACGTCGTAGAATTCGCAAAATTAACATCCATGAATTGGAATTTTAGTAGATTTTACGAAATATAATTCCCTCAAAAAAAACTACATATAACAGGATCTGTGTATTATGTAAATGATAATAATCTTTGTGGACTGCTTTTTGTCTAAAATATGATTATATATAAGTTGATCCATTTTTAGATGCATTTGCAGAAAGACGAATCATTATTGCTGTAACAAGGCTTGATCAGTATAGCACTACTACATCTGAAGATGAATCATCAGATCCTGATTCAGAGAGTGATGATGAATCAAAACCTGCTAAAGATGATGAAGAAGAAATCATTAAGCGTATTCATAGCATAAAGGAGGTCATCCAGCGACAGTGCAAGTGTTTAGGTGTGCCTATTCCAGATGATTGCATTATACCTTTGCATGCTACTGGAGCTCTCGAGGCAAGGAAAAAAATGATAAACTTAAGAGTCAAGAAAAAAGAGCCAGATCAAGAGTCAAAATTATCAACTGCAAATGAACGTGACAAAATTAGTCAGGTACCATTATTAGAGGAAAAGTAAGTTAGTTATTGTACCACCAATTTACCAGTTTATCATTATTTATTTAACTGTAGACTTATTGAAATTGCTACTAATTCTCATTATTTATGGCACTACAATATTGTGAGGGACTGCACTAAATACTGTGATCAAGCTATGGAAAAACTAGATGGATCTAAGAAAGAATTTATAAAACATGAAAGGGGTTTGTATTTTCTTATATAATTCTACTTATCAATGTAATCCTATTAGAGTTTAATGATAAAGTGAGGGAAAAAGAGAGTAATTTCCAAGGCTTCAAAAAATTAGTGGAAGTGATTAGATTCAAGTACAAAGATGGGTCAGAATTTTCCAAACGATTAGAATCCACTTACAATGAAGATTTAAAAGTACTATTAATCTTCATTGGTTTTCTTTAATGGTTGTGCTTTATTTAGACAAATCATGAAAATATTGATAGAGTATCAAACTCACATTTAAGTATTTTTGAAAACTTTCGATCAGAAATTAAAGAAAGGAAACCTAGAGTTACCACTGCACAATTTAAATCAGGTTTGTCTGCATCTAAATTATTTAGCATCTATAAATATTTTTCTGCTGCCAATTTTTCTTACATTGTATCATTATAGAGGCTGAAAAGTTAATTGAAAATGAAAATAAATCATTGAGGAATGATTTAAAAGATCTGGCCTTTAAACAGATGGATGTAGTTGTTAAAGATTCAATATATAGACTTGGTTCCTTTAGACAAAAATTGGGACAACACCTGGCCACATACTGCAATACAACTACTTCTACTAGTGGTATGGAGAAGCTTTAGTGTACATAGCTTGAGTATAGTTACTATGTTGTGTATAGATGAGCCTCATTTGCCTGATGATAGTATTATTTCTGAATCTCTAAGTGATAGCAGAGTACTAGTCAGCAGCAAGTAAGATTAATTTGCACCCATTAATGCTTCAGTAATATTTTGCTGTTTATATAGTCCACCTCTCAAGTTACGCGATATACTAGAACAAAGCAAAGTGTAAGAATTTGAACTACTTTGTCTATAATTATGGTTTATTTTATTAATAATAGGCACTATAGTTTTTGGGAGAATATTTTCGTTTTTTTTAATAAGTGAGTATTGAAATATTTATAGCTTTATTACTAAACAATTTATAGGCATTTTGTACCTTTGGATGATCCAAGACGCCATTTACGGTAATAATTCAGGGATGGGGCGAAGTACATTAGTACTTGTACTTAAGTACAATCTTCAGAGTACTTAGACTGTACTTAAGTCCTTTTTACATTAACTGCCTGTACTTGCACTTATACTTAAGTACTTTATAAAGTACTTTGTGATACTTATATAAGTACTTTGAAGTACTGTAAGTATAATGGCTTGTACATGTATAATTATTGTAAGAACTGAAGTGTGACACTTGCTGCTGCTAAGCTGTAAATGGCCCTGATCATTGTAACCATAAAACAATCATGTCTTTGATGCCTTGCAGTCATATGTATAATGCATATGCATGTACAATATCCACTAGTCTACATGTAGATGCTTATTTGGAAGCACCTGCTCTATCTGAAAAAACTAATCTACTAATGTTTTAAAAAAGAAAATAGTAATGCCAGATCATTTCCATCATACCTTTCATTTTAAACATTGCTAGCAAAACATTTTGGACAGAAAGGTGTAATTTAAGTGACAATAGATTACAAAAATGAATGTTTATTTGTTCTAACATTAAACACACAAATTTCAATGGTTAAAATTCCATTTAATTGTGCTCTTCATAGTACTTCACTTGTACTTAAGTACTTTCTATA